CTGTAATCTTTAGGCTAAACTAAGCTGAGCATGTGATTGTCTTTTAGTTGTCAACGACCCATGATATAGTTCGATAGATCTTGCTCTTATGGCGTATTTAGAAGCCTAAGCACGTCAAATGTAAATTTTCCTCCTAGAAATTGCTTCATATGGGTCTTATTCTTGGATGCTATTCTTGTACTTTCTGATCTGGCTACTAGTTTATGCTGTACTTGTCCCTGTCATTCATTTCTTCCTTCGTTCCTTTCTTTCGTATGTACATACTCCTTTTTTCTCTTCCAATCTTTATCGTCGTATATCATCCGTCATGTAACCTATATGTCTGTTTGGTTCCATTCTCTGTAAGTTCCTTTCCTTCACGGCTTCTTTTTCTCCCAATCCGTTTTTGTACTCCCTTCGTCTTGCATATTTCGCTTTCACTCCGTTCTGTCTGTTTTGGATACATCTTTTAGTATAGTGTCCGTTCTTGCATAGCATGTTAAACAGCATGTTTCGGTATGTCTCATATTTAGCAGTTTCACCTTTACTTTCTTCCCGACCTCCTTCACTTGATATTTAAGTACGTATGATTTATGTTATTTGTTTTTCCCTTTTCGCGTTTTCTTGTCTCTGTGGATGCTTTCCGTCCTACATACTCTCATTATTGCTTCAGTCATTTCGTCGTTCTTTGTTGCATATTTTCTGTCTTTCTTTTCTGTGCCCCCATCCCTATGATCGTCTCCTGTTTTCATCTGTTATCTACTACAATGTTCCCCCTGTTATATGCCTACTCATTTTCATACTCCTGTGGACTTTGTATACTAACTTTTGTTTACTTCTTTACTTGGAACGTATCACTTGCTTTATGAATTTATGCCTTCATTTGTATCGTGACATTTGAACATCTAGATATTGGTATACGGCGTCGTTTAGGTCGTGTGCATTTCCTTGCTATCTGTGTTCAATAAGCCAGCTTGTGGAGTTGCTTTTCAAAGTTGGCATCAATATCTCCCTCCTTTCCCCCCCTCCCTTCTCTTTTCACCCTTTCTGTTTCTCCCTTTCCTCCCCCCCTAGGCTTTGGTGTACATTTCGGGAAGGCATGTTCAATTTTAGAAGTGGAAAGATAGCAGTTGTGGTGCTTGTTTGTATGCTATTGTATTGTATGTGAGAATGTCGAGGAATGAGATTGACTAAGGGAAAGTTGGGTACAAGTACAAACCCTAGAAAACTGTACCCCATATGTGCTACCCCACTACAGCCTACAGCAGCTATGTCATATAAATCTGACACACCCCCATAGGCAAAGTGGGGGAGAACAATGGGTCACAAGACCAGTCAAGCAAAGCAAGGCAAGCTCAGGGTGGATCACAAAGTCACCACACATTCCGAGCACAAGTTCAAGGCCAGAAGGCCAGTTTACATGCAGGATTACATATATATATAAGGCTAGACAAGCAAGAGCAGGTGTATATATATATGAAACAGTACAAACAAGGTCAAGGGGTGAGCAAGTGAGGCAAGGCAGGCACAAGACCAAGCTGAGTACAGAAGCGCTGATGATCACAAGGCGCAAGTGCCTTGGTGAAGATATCAGCAGTGTTGGCCTGAGAGGCCACGTACGCAAGACGCAGCTGACCACGCTGCTGTAGCTCACGAGCAAGGAAGTAGCGAAGAGCAATGTGCTTTGTTCTGTGCTCCAGTCTCTGCTCCCGACACAAGGCCAGCATGGCCTTGTTGTCTACGTACAGCACTGGAGGAGAACGAGGCGGCTCTCCAAGGTCAGTCAGCAGGTAGGTGAGCCAGCGAAGCTCCTGTGCAGTCATGGCTCCTGCGTAGATCTCAGCCTCACAACTGGAGCCGAGAACAGAGGACGAGCGGGTAGCCCGCCACGAAACAGAGCCGGAACCAAGGCTGAAGGTGTAACCCTGTGACGACCGCTGCGTAGCCTGGTCGTCAGCCCAAGAAGCGTCTGCGTGCCCAGTGAGGACCACTGGACTCTGCCCTCCAAGCACAAGCCCCATGCCCGACGTACTGCACAAGTAGCGCAACACCCTCTTCGCTGCAGCCATGTGCTCCGGTCTGTGTCTCCCAGGAGCAACATAGCGTGCGAGAATGCTAAGAGGGTATGCAAGGTCAGGTCGTGTGCAGGTCATCAGGTACATGAGGCAGCCAACAAGCTCTGGGTACGGGCCACTCGACTCTACGGACTCATCCGAAGGCAGAGCTGAGAGCGAGTGGCGAGTAGGCAGAGGAGTGGCCTGAGGCGAGGAGTACGTGAAGCCGAAGCGCTGAAGGACCTGCTGCACCATGTGTGACTGAGTCAGGGTAATGGTGCGGCGTGCTCTGTCCCGGGTGATCTGCAAGCCAAGGTAGCTGCGCAGTTCACCCATGTCTGTGCACGTGTGTCTCTTCTGCAGCTCGGACTTCACGTGGGCGAGTCCAGCAGTGTCAGCTGTGGCAAAGACCAAGTCGTCGACGTACACGAGGATGTAGAACGGCGGCAAAGAAGTGTCGGTGCGCAGAAACAGCGACGGGTCGGCAGTAGAGGGAGCAAACCCAAGAGCCACAAGTGTAGTCCTCAGTGTGTCGTGCCACTCACGCGGTGCCTGGCGGAGACCGTAGACTGGCCGCCGGAGGCTCCACTGGGTGCCAGGAGGAAAAGACCCAGTGAAGCCAGGTGGGCGACGCAGCCAGATCTCCTCGTGCAGGCTGCCCTGCAAGAAAGCAGTGCTGAAGTCAAGAGAGTGCAGCTCGTAGTCACGGTGAGCAGCTATGTGCAGCAGTACCCGAAGAGTGGTCATCTTCGGGGTGGGAGAGAAGGTCTGAAAGTAGTCAACTCCCTGCCGCTGACTGAAGCCACGAGCCACGTAACGCGCCTTGAAGACAGGCGGAGAACCCGGCGGCCGCTTCACCCTGAAAATCCACATGCCACTGACGATGTTCGCCCCAGGTGGGGGAACCTCGTCAACGTAGGTGCCTGTGGACTTCCAGGAAGCCATCTCTGCGTCCATGGCTGCCTGCCACTGAGAGGAGTAGGGACCCTCTATCGCCTCCGCGTAAGAGCGCGGAGTCGGGATGTCAAGTGCATCCGGGTCTCCCTCAGGGGTAAGCAGTACGGACACGAGATGAGGTGAAACAACAGCCAAACACTGGAACTCCTCCTGCCTGTCCTCAAGGACGTCCGTGCCAAGGGCACACGGACGGAGGACAGACAGACTCAGACTCAGCAACAAGACTAGCAGCGTAGGATTCTCCGTTGTGAGGTTCCGCTGCTGGGAGTTGACCAGGATTCCACCCGGCCGAATTATGTCTCTGGAAGCATGCACTACAAAGCTTGGGCCTGTAAAACTCTGGCACCCGAAAGAAACAACGGAGTGCCTAAAGAGGAGCAGGTGATCCACTAGGACAAGGTCGGTAGGGAGATCGGCGACGATATGGGGCCGAGATGGAGGCAGGCGCTCCGTAACGAGGAGCATCTGCATGGGCCGAAAATAACGAAATGGCGCTTGCGCGCATACTTCGAATACATGTCGACTGAAACCGACAAACAGGCGAAATCCTTGGATACAGGCCGGACCAGAGTCGCTGGCAGGAAGGCGAAAAAAAGCACCCCTCCGATGATGCTGGCTCGCCTTACTGCGCTGACGTGCTTCTGCAGAGTAGAGGCCATACTCTTCGACGAGCCACTAACGAAACCCTTGGACGATATCACCGAGGCCCGGCAGCTTCTTGCGGTCAAGCTGCGGCAGCTGCACGACTTTCAGTTCGAGTAAGTAGGCTGCCATACATCGGTGAATAAAACTTCTCACTCACATTCTCACCCCTTAATCGCTGTATCTGCCCACTCAATGCAGGCAGTGCGTCGATCCACACCGGGGCTCGCTCGACGATGTTTACACAGTTCCGCATTCTCGTTTCAGACATCCTGCCGTACTGGGCCAAGGAGTACTTTCGGGAGTCGATGGGTTACCCCAGTCAGTCGCTGTGGAGGGCCTTGGCCGTGAGGGTGATGATCCTGATGGCGCATCACATGCTGGGCAGGGGGATAAGCATCCGCGAGATCCGCTACTGCAATATGTTCACTCACGTCCTTCCGCCCATCACGAACAGCAAGGGGGAATCGTCGATCCACGTTCTAGTGGTCGCCTATCGCAACTCGAAGACCATCAAAGACAACAAGCTCGGCCACCTGTACCTGACTCGACACATGGACTTCCGGCAGTGCGGCTTCGGAGCAGTGTTCATGTGGATACATTTCCTTTTCGACCTTGTTCCGCTCCACTACAACAACGATAAGATCGTGCCCCCCCTGGATTTTAGCAACCCGGAAAACTGGTCGAAGAATCACCTGTTCTTCGCCCTCTTCGACAAGGACAAGACCGAGTTGCCGTACGCGACTCATGCCAAATGGGTTACCTGGGCGATGAAAAGCGCGGAGTGGATCCTGTCGAAAGTCACACACATCTTTCGACGGTCTGCGGCACAGATCCTCGCCGACAAAAACTGTGAACTCGACAACATCGCGCAGCTGGGTCAATGGGACATGAACGAGATGCGCAGGTCATACGTCACAGGCATCCCGCGCGGGGCCATCCAGCTGCAAGCGGGTTTCACGACGGAACCAGGTGACTATTACCTCGGAAGATCGAAGAGCGAAGTACCCGCGAAGGTCCTGAAGGCTATCGAGGAGCACATATTTCCAAAGGCGGAGCTGTGGCTCGACGAGGTATGGATGCGTCGAGCGCATAGCGTGATCATCGAATGCAAATTTTGCCCGTCTATCTCTCAATGTCACCACATTTGTTCTTGTTCAGGCGATGGAATGGAACAACGAGCAGGACAAGGAGCATATGTTCTTCGCAGCGAAAAGTTTCTTGAAGGCCCTGCAAGCCGCCCGAATGCGCATCGCAGAGGATCTTGCGATGTACTACGTCCATTGTGACGACCACCCCTTCGACGGAGTGACTGTTTGCGACTGCGAGCGTCACCCTTATGCAGAGATGTCGGGTTTGTGCAAGGACATGGATTTCCAAAAATGGGCGCTTGACGTGTACCTGCTCGACAAGTACGGCATCGAGATGCGGACCAACCCCACGCTGTCGAGAGCTTCGGTAAGATGGCCCTTCCAAATTTTAATCCGAACAGTTTGCATCAGCCCACTTACCGCTCGTGATCTTGTGCGCAGGACGCATCCTTTCAACTCAACACCAAGCACCAAATCACGCAACTACGGGCCGAGTTTAACTTACACAAGGAGGAGGGAGGGAAAAAAGAAATCAAGATCAAGCACCTCGAGCAGAAGGTCGAGTCATTGGAGCGGGAGAAGGGCGCGATGCAAGCGGAGATGGAGGCGAAGGCAGAAGCTCTCGCGCAACTGCAGAAAGCCTTCGACGCACTGAAGATTACCGCGGCGACAACCGCAGCTGCGAATGTGGGGGGGAGCGAGAGCGTGCCGCATACGGCGACCGAAGAAACCACCCCGCCACCACAGCAAGCCCCACAATCAGCACCCACTCAACAGAGCGTGGGCAGCCAGCTCGACCAAGCATTCTTCGACGCAGTGGTGTGGCCGTGGTGCAATTGCGAGACCGTGCGGCAGGCGTGGTCGTACTGGGACGGGACAAGCCCGCTGAACAACGGACACAGCCTTCGACACGCTTACAGGAGAGGTTTCGCCGTCAAGTTCAGCAAGTTCACTCCGACTCCTCCCCCCGTTCCCCCCGTTGCGGTGGACCAGCCAAAAGAAAAGCCACCGACCCCAAAAGTTGTCGAGTCGAAATTGCGGAAGATGGAGGTTGTCATGAGGTCCGTCGAGATGTTCAGGGTCGACGACAGCAGCGCGGCTACGTCGACGATCGTTGATAAGCTCGACTCAATAGTCACGAAGCACTCGATCAACATGCTGGCGGAAGGGCTCGTTCTCAAGGAGGATTCGCGGAAGCAGCTCACGAAGAAGCGCAAAGTCGAGACAGCTGAAGACAACCGGAAGGACAAAGATCGCCTCAGGATCACGCGGGAGCTCATTCGCGTCGAACTTCGAACCACGGAATGGGCCGAGAACGTGTTCAAAGACAAATGGAAAGAGTTCATGAAAACAGTGGGCGAGAATCCAAGTTCGACAGGCAACCGTGACGAGGGGGGAAACTAGAGTAGGTTGTTCTTTCAGAAATTGCATGGCAGGTTTTCATTCCTGAGCGACGATCTCGTCTATATGAACCTTCTGAGCATTATCGAAAACGAGAAGTCAAGAACCAAACAACATGTACATTCTGTCGATTAAACTTTGGAAACAACAAACACTACTGTCGAGAGATACAAACTCCCCCACGCAAAGTGCCGCCCTAGACTACTCTCCTTGCCCGGCCGTTTTCGTCTCCGCAGCATCCTCGTCGCCCAGCTTCGCCTTGCTCTTTTCTTCTGGCATAGCCAGGTTGCCATAGCCCGCGTCCTCTAGCAAGCGCGCAGCAGCTCGACAGCAGCACCATTGCGTACAGACCTGTGCTGCCACGCGCAGCATCTGCAACAGTATGGCGTCCGTCGAGCCGAGACCTTGGACAGCCGTCGAATACAGCTGATCGGGCCACTGCTTCGCCGGGAACGTTTTGCCGACGTGCAAAAGTATGGACACGAGCGCGGCCATGGCAGCCACACAAGCCTTGCTTGCAGTCTCCGGGGCGTAGAGCGCAGCGTTTGCGGCAGCTAGGGCATCCTTCTCAATATCCTCCCTCGACAACTTCCTGCAGGCCGCCCACAAGCTCGCCACAGTTGCTGCGATGGCCATCATGTGCGGTGTCGCCGCCATGCCCTTCGGGACCGGGTAAATCAGGTTCCCGTGCTTCAGGCCAAGCGTCGCGACCTTACCAATCGCCACGCACAGCGCGATTCCCCTATCGGTTCCAGCTCTCACTTCCTTTTCTGCCGTCGCCAACAGCGACTTGAAACTGCACATTGCAACAAATGCGTTAGTCAAGAGGCCAGAATTCGACCGACAGCACATTCACCGCCAAACAGCAGTTGTTCGACAATTCACCAAAACAGCAGGAAATCGACAGCAGAGTCGAACAACATGACTTCGACAGGACTCACTCGTCGAAACGACATTCCCCTTGTTCTTGCGCCACGCTCCAAACGCCGGTTGGCATTTCTGCGGCCGCATCGAGGTAGACCTTCCAGTCCTTCTCATCCTGTGCCGTGTACCATTCGTACTCCGTAAGGACAATGTCGGGGAAGTACACGCGCCAGCAGACGGCCGTACAGAACTTCTGGTCCTTCTCTGTTTCAAAAGTGCCAAGGAACCGCTTCCTCCCGCCAACGGTCTGCTCGGAAACCGGCTTCCCCTTCCGCAACCCGAAACCCGGTCCTCTGAAGGGAGCTTTGCTGCCTCTCGTCTTGCCTTGGTCGTCCGGCCGAGGAGGTGGGGTGTAACCCATGACCTTGGCCTTTTTCGCCTTCTCCTGTCGAGCAGCAACGACGGTAGACGTCTTCACGACAGGAGCCTGGCCAGAGAGGCTGGCCAGCTCCACGACGTCAAAGCTCTCTGTAGCCTGTGCAGAGCGCTTCGACGACTTCGTCGCAGCCGGCTTCTTCTTCGACATCGAAGGGGAACCCGGATCGCTAAGGCAGACGTCGCCCAGGGCCGGAGCAGCGACAGGAGCAACTGCAGGGGTAGAGGAAGACGCCCAATATCCTACCAGCTCGACAGGACGGCCAGCACCACCGCTCTGCGCAGCGGATGCTGCTTTTGTCTTCGACAACAACCCAGCTGACGTCTCTCCCGCCCCTTGGCCCGCAGCGCCTCCGGACGGGGTGGGGACACCTCGCTTTCCCAAGGCTTTTTTCCCGTCTGCGGCGACGGAATCGATTGCGGCACCACTTTTCTCCCCCGCAACCACTCCTTTCCCACCCGTAATCCCCAAACCCTGCAGAATGTCGCGCATCGGAGCAAACGCATCAGTTGGAGGCATCGCAGCTGCTTCGGAGCTCTTCGGGAGGGGTGACTGGTCGAGTACTATGACCTCGTTGTCCTCCACGGACTTGGCGACAGGATGACGGCCACGCGACGGTGGTGATGCTACCCGGCTGCCGACATGTCCTCCCACCGAAGAAGAAGGAGGAACCACGCCCGTGTGAAGTCGAGGCTCGGTCCCGCTGCGAACCTCTGCCACACCCTCCTGACGCGATCTCGTCGACGGGCCCGTCGAGCGCTGTAACCCCCTCGCCACCGCTTCGGTGAGGACTTCCAATCTCCCCGCTTCACCTTCCAGGTGGCCTTCTCTCACAATGTCCTTCAGCTGCTTCATGGTCTCGGGTGGGAGGTTGGAGTAGAACAAGTCCTCCTTGACGGCATTCTCGATACCCTTCATGACCGAAGCAGCCAGCCGCTCCTCGACCAGCTTGAGCTGCTTCTCGACGGCGTCCTCGCTCGCTTTTACGATGGCGGCGGCCACACCCTCGATGATCTTTCCGCTCATTTCGTCGAGCTTTGTCCGCACCCCTTCCAACAGCTTCCTCTCCTCCGTGACGCCGTTTACAGCGTCGGCGCACTGCTTCAGCGTCCTCTTCGACGACTCCGAAATCGTTCCCCAGGCCGTCCGAAAATCCGCAGCAAGCCTGTTGAAAACTACGGCTTGCTCGCTATGCTTCGCAAATACGTCGGCGACGAGCTGCTTCTGCGACGCATCCACCTCCGCGACCCTCTGCAGTAGCTCGACAACCTGGCCTCCGGATGCAATGTCCGACGTCGAATGGCCCACCGTCGACGGGCGCCCCCTCGATGGGCCCGCTTGTCCGCTGCCACTGGCCGTGCGGTGTATCCTTGTAACTCCGACCTGTCGCTCGTCTCCTCGGAGACACTCATGCATAGCCTCCCCGCCCTCTTGCTCCTGCCCTCCTGCCCCACCCTCCTGTGCAGCCGTCACGCCCTCCTGCTGCTGCCCTCCTGTCGCACCCTGCTGCGCAGCCGTCACGCCCTCCTGCTGCTGCCCTCCTGTCGCACCCTGCTGCGCAGCCGTCACGCCCTCCTGCTGCTGCCCTCCTGTCGCACCCTGCTGCGCAGCCGTCACGCCCTCCTGCTGCTGCCCTCCTGTCGCACCCTGCTGCGCAGCCTTCCCTCCCTCTTGCTGCTGCCCTCCTATCGCACCCTCCTGCGCAGCCTCCCCGCCCTCCTCCTGGTGCTGCACTCCTGCCCCACGCTCATGCACAGCCGCTTCGCCCTCCTGCTCCTCGACAGCCTGCACAGCCGTTTCGCCCTCCTGCTCCTCGACAGCAACCCGCTCCCCGAGCGCCACTCCGTGCTCCACCGTCTGCTGCGTCCCACCATCGTGCTCGACAGACTCATCGCTCGAGCTCGAGCCGGACGTCGATTCCGAGCTCGAGTCCTCCTGCCTATTCGCATCGCCGCCCTGGCCGCTCACCGCATGCTGAGCTTGCGTCGATGTATCCTCCTCGATACCCTCCTCCTCTTCATATTCATACTGGAGCACCTCACCACCTACTCCCTCCGCTAGCTTGTTTATCTTTCCCCTAAACAGCTTTACCATGTACAACGGAATCATCCCTGGGCCAGGACTCGTTCTCCCGAGATGCACGATCGCTCCCTGTCGAGGAGTAAGAATGAATTTCTCCCAGTTCGACAGAATCCGTCGCACTCCGTGAATGACACGAGCTCCCGCGCCGGGTTCGACGTGGCTCAGCAGAGGCGTCGTCGTCTGCATCGGGTAGCAAGCACAGGTAAGCGACAGAACACATGCTCGACGAAAGCATTGCGGGTCTAGGGTGGGCTTACCAGTTTATCGAAACTCCTGATCATGTCCAGACGAATGTCTATGATGTTCAACACTTCCTGCTCGACCTCGGTCACAACCTGTTGGGTCAACGCGTACTCGGCTCGAAGCTGCCTCTTCATCCAACTGCAAGGCAACGGACAGCAGGGTCAGACCGTCCAGCGCAGCAGCTCAACAGCAGCGCGGCAAAACGATTACTCACTTGAGAACTTCCAGCGCCAGCGAAGATTGGTGGTTCACCGCGTCAAATTTGTCCTTCGAATCGAAGTGCATCATTCGAGTTCGACAGCCACGGTGCCTCGGAGCCAGCAGATCGTCGGGGCGTGATACCACAAACAGGCTCGAGTGGGAGCCCGGTGCCACAGTCAGGCTGCATGCAGAGCGAATGCACATAAGCCCGGGTTTACGGCTAAACACAAAGCACGAAAGGCGAGGGGCGAGTGTCGAACTCACGTGGTCCGCAGCAGAACGAAAATAGCTTGCTTGCCGAGCAGGCCGTCGAGGTGGTTGGCCGCAAAAGCGACCGGTGTGGGACGCGCCATCTCTTCGTGCGCACGCGTCGAGGTGATGATTGACACAATGGGGAGCTGCTCGACGGGCATCAACTCCCGACAGAACAGGCTGCACATAAACCTAGCGAGCGGTCAGCGACAGTAAAGCAGGCCCAACCGACAATGCTCGACAAGAAACGTACGCGACGCCCGCGGTGACCATCCTCTCGTCGAGCTCAGCCTTCGGCGCCTCCTCAATCGCGTTTAACTGGTCCTCAAACACCTCCACCTCGATCCCGCCTGCGGTTAGGATGAGGCCGCGCCGAACGGTCGGCTCGACTACGGGTTGGGAGGCGGGCCCCGTTGCCATGGCAGGCCTAGCAGAAGGGAGAGCGGGAGAGCTAGAAAGTTTGAAACTAGGGAGTAGGGAGAGAGAAAAGTTGAAGAAAACAACAGCAAAATGAGACCTCTCTCAGGCTTCAGCTGGTTGACATCCCCCCCACCGGATCAGTCTCGGGTGCAAGCGCGACGAGGCAGGACGCGTTCCGCGACGGCCGGAGGAGGCTTTTCGCAAGGGGCGGCGTGGCCCTATTGTCCTCGACGTGAAATCTGTTGCGCGCATGCATGAGGTGGGGCGCTTTTCATGCAGGAGGGAGGCCCTTTCACCGAGGTGGAGGGGGCGTTCGACACGTCACCCGGGTCGAGCGCGAACCGAAACGGGCCCTTTCAGGCGAGCGTGGATGGGCGCCGCTTCCGTCAGCTCGCGAAATTTCGCGGACGGGTTCCGTCAGCGAGGCTACGCCGGGCGAGGGTTCCGTCGGTTACCGGACGGAACCCGTCTACGAACCGAGCGTGGGGTTGGGCTCGGTTGGGGGGGGACCACTGCCAGCTCGAGGGCGCGGGCTGCTGGCGTCACGCGCAGCTGGCGCCAGCTGGGGGTGCCCGTTTTCGGGCGGGAGGGGGGGGTTGGCTCCCGCCCCTCGCGTGCCCCGCCACGCGACAGCGGGAAAACCAAAATCCCTCCGAGGAAAACCCGCAGGGGCAAACGGGTTTTCGCGGAGGGATTCGGGTGATGTCTTCCCTCAATAGTAACTCACATGAATGTAACTTCCAACCGGTTTGAAACAGCACGTACCTTACAGAACCGAGTAAAGTGTGCAATTTTTTAAACCACAATCAGCCTCGCGAACTTCTTTAGGTTCGCCTGGTTGGGGGTTACAAGTTCCATCCCACTCAACTGGATTCCCGCCAGAAACAACTTCTGTAACTGGCCCTTGAAAATGCCGAGTCGCAGAAAATGCGAAGATGTGCAGCTTCGCTTCCCGCATCACGAAATCGTTTTTGTTCGTAACTCGACACTCTCATCGCATGTCCTCCATGCCCTGCCCTCCCCCACTCCCTTCGGCTCAGGGCCTTGTCAGAAGAATTCCCAGACTCCAAACATTTGACAAGCACTCTGCAACGCAAAATAAACAATCGCAACTTGAGGAGCTTGATCTGAGGCTTACACGCGGTGAACGAATCCTGAACTTTTTCGTCTTTCCCGCCGTCTTCGCGCTGTATGATCCAAGAGTAGTAGGTTCGTATTAGTTTTTCAGTCTTAACCTGTAACATGGCGGATCCGAGAATTCGCAGGCAAACCTACACAGCCGCATCCCAGCCTTCCCGCGGGGCGTATCCGCGCGGATCTGTTCCCCCGCAGGCGCAACGCGGGGTCGGATCCAGGGGAAGCGGGCCCAGCCGCGCAACTGCTGGCGGAAATCCGGGTTCGGGGGAAAGGCAACCCCCGGAGACCGCGGAGCAGGCGGCGGAGCGGGAACTGCGCGAGCGGAGAGAGAAGGAGCGGGCGCAGGAGGACCGGGATAGGGATGCGCGCGAGCGGAAGGCGCAAGCGGCGGAGCGACTGCAGCGGGAGCAGCAGGCGGTGGTGTCTCTGGAGCGATCTGTGCATGCTAAAGCGCGCGATGTGGAGTCGCTGTCAGCGCAGAGCACGCAGATGGACGAGCAGGCATCGGCTGTGAGGTGAGGATTCTGTGGGAGAGGATGAAAGACTGCGGGAAAAGACAGCAGCAGCAGGCGGTGGTGTCGCCGGAACGATCTGTGCACTCTAAAACGCGCGATGTGGAGTCTCTGTCAGCGCAGAGCACGCAGATGGACGAGCAGGCATCGGCTGTGAGGTGAGGATTCTGTGGGAGAGGATGAAAGACTGCGGGAAAAGACAGCAGCAGCAGGTGGTGGTGTCGCCAGAACGATCTGTGCACTCTAAAACGTGCGATGTGGAGTCTCTGTCAGCGCAGAGCACGCAGATGGACGAGCAGGCCTCAGCGATAAGGTGGGTTTCTGGGAGGGGATGAATGACTGCGGGAAAAAACAGCAGCAGCAGGCGGTAGTGAATCAAACAGTAGAACAAAGACAGCAGCAGGAGCAGCAGGCGGTAGTGAATCAAACAGTAGAACAAAGACTGCAGCAGGAGCAGCAGGCGGTAGTGAATCAAACAGTAGAACAAAGACAGCAGCAGGAGCAGCAGGTGGTAGTGAATCAAACAGTAGAACAAAGACTGCAGCAGGAGCAGCAGGCGGTAGGGAATCAAACAGTAGAACAAAGACAGCAGCAGGAGCAGCAGGCGGTAGTGAATCAAACAGTAGAACAAAGACTGCAGCAGGAGCAGCAGGCGGTAGTGAATCAAACAGTAGAACAAAGACTGCAGCAGGAGCAGCAGGCGGTAGTGAATCAAACAGTAGAACAAAGACAGCAGCAGGAGCAGCAGGCGGTAGTGAATCAAACAGTAGAACAAAGACTGCAGCAGGAGCAGCAGGCGGTAGTGAATCAAACAGTAGAACAAAGACTGCAGCAGGAGCAGCAGGCGGTAGTGAATCAAACAGTAGAACAAAGACTGCAGCAGGAGCAGCAGGCGGTAGTGAATCAAACAGTAGAACAAAGACTGCAGCAGGAGCAGCAGGCGGTAGTGAATCAAACAGTAGAACAAAGACAGCAGCAGGAGCAGCAGGCGGTAGTGAATCAAACAGTAGAACAAAGACTGCAGCAGGAGCAGCAGGCGGTAGTGAATCAAACAGTAGAACAAAGACAGCAGCAGGAGCAGCAGGCGGTAGTGAATCAAACAGTAGAACAAAGACAGCAGCAGGAGCAGCAGGCGGTAGTGAATCAAACAGTAGAACAAAGACTGCAGCAGGAGCAGCAGGCGGTAGTGAATCAAACAGTAGAACAAAGACTGCAGCAGGAGCAGCAGGCGGTAGTGAATCAAACAGTAGAACAAAGACTGCAGCAGGAGCAGCAGGCGGTAGTGAATCAAACAGTAGAACAAAGACAGCAGCAGGAGCAGCAGGCGGTAGTGAATCAAACAGTAGAACAAAGACAGCAGCAGGAGCAGCAGGCGGTAGTGAATCAAACAGTAGAACAAAGACAGCAGCAGGAGCAGCAGGCGGTAGTGAATCAAACAGTAGAACAAAGACAGCAGCAGGAGCAGCAGGCGGTAGTGAATCAAACAGTAGAACAAAGACAGCAGCAGGAGCAGCAGGCGGTAGTGAATCAAACAGTAGAACAAAGACAGCAGCAGGAGCAGCAGGCGGTAGTGAATCAAACAGTAGAACAAAGACAGCAGCAGGAGCAGCAGGCGGTAGTGAATCAAACAGTAGAACAAAGACTGCAGCAGGAGGAGCAGGCGGTAGTGAATCAAACAGTAGAACAAAGACAGCAGCAGGAGCAGCAGGCGGTAGTGAATCAAACAGTAGAACAAAGACTGCAGCAGGAGCAGCAGGCGGTAGTGAATCAAACAGTAGAACAAAGACAGCAGCAGGAGCAGCAGGCGGTAGTGAATCAAACAGTAGAACAAAGACTGCAGCTGGAGCAGCAGGCGGTAGTGAATCAAACAGTAGAACAAAGACAGCAGCAGGAGCAGCAGGCGGTAGTGAATCAAACAGTAGAACAAAGACTGCAGCAGGAGCAGCAGGCGGTAGTGAATCAAACAGTAGAACAAAGACTGCAGCAGGAGCAGCAGGCGGTAGTGAATCAAACAGTAGAACAAAGACAGCAGCAGGAGCAGCAGGCGGTAGTGAATCAAACAGTAGAACAAAGACTGCAGCAGGAGCAGCAGGCGGTAGTGAATCAAACAGTAGAACAAAGACAGCAGCAGGAGCAGCAGGCGGTAGTGAATCAAACAGTAGAACAAAGACAGCAGCAGGAGCAGCAGGCGGTAGTGAATCAAACAGTAGAACAAAGACTGCAGCAGGAGCAGCAGGCGGTAGGGAATCAAACAGTAGAACAAAGACAGCAGCAGGAGCAGCAGGCGGTAGTGAATCAAACAGTAGAACAAAGACAGCAGCAGGAGCAGCAGGCGGTAGTGAATCAAACAGTAGAACAAAGACAGCAGCAGGAGCAGCAGGCGGTAGTGAATCAAACAGTAGAACAAAGACTGCAGCTGGAGCAGCAGGCGGTAGTGAATCAAACAGTAGAACAAAGACAGCAGCAGGAGCAGCAGGCGGTAGTGAATCAAACAGTAGAACAAAGACTGCAGCAGGAGCAGCAGGCGGTAGTGAATCAAACAGTAGAACAAAGACTGCAGCAGGAGCAGCAGGCGGTAGTGAATCAAACAGTAGAACAAAGACAGCAGCAGGAGCAGCAGGCGGTAGTGAATCAAACAGTAGAACAAAGACTGCAGCAGGAGCAGCAGGCGGTAGTGAATCAAACAGTAGAACAAAGACAGCAGCAGGAGCAGCAGGCGGTAGTGAATCAAACAGTAGAACAAAGACAGCAGCAGGAGCAGCAGGCGGTAGTGTAACAAACAGTAGAACAAAGACTGCAGCAGGAGCAGCAGGCGGTAGTGAATCAAACAGTAGAACAAAGACTGCAGCAGGAGCAGCAGGCGGTAGTGAATCAAACAGTAGAACAAAGACAGCAGCAGGAGCAACAGGCGGTAGTGAATCAAACAGTAGAACAAAGACAGCAGCAGGAGCAGCAGGTGGTAGTGAATCAAACAGTAGAACAAAGACTGCAGCAGGAGCAGCAGGCGGTAGTGAATCAAACAGTAGAACAAAGACTGCAGCAGGAGCAGCAGGCGGTAGGGAATCAAACAGTAGAACAAAGACTGCAGCAGGAGCAGCAGGCGGTAGTGAATCAAACAGTAGAACAAAGACTGCAGCAGGAGCAGCAGGCGGTAGGGAATCAAACAGTAGAACAAAGACTGCAGCAGGAGCAGCAGGCGGTAGGGAATCAAACAGTAGAACAAAGACTGCAGCAGGAGCAGCAGGCGGTAGTGAATCAAACAGTATAACAAAGACTGCAGCAGGAGCAGCAGGCGGTAGTGAATCAAACAGTAGAACAAAGACTGCAGCAGGAGCAGCAGGCGGTAGTGAATCAAACAGTAGAACAAAGACAGCAGCAGGAGCAGCAGGCAGTAGTGAATCAAACAGTAGAACAAAGACTGCAGCAGGAGCAGCAGGCGGTAGTGTCGCCGGAACGATAGGTAAACTCGAAGGCGCGCGATGTGGAGTCGCTGTCAGCGCAGAGCACAGCTATGGACGAGCACGCTTCGGCTGTGAGGTATGTTGTGAGCGATCCGTGCACGCTAAAGTGCGTGATGTCGAATTGCTGTCAGCGCAGAGCACGCAGATGGACGAGCAGGCTTCGTCGATAAGGTGTGTGTTGTGAGAGATTTAATTGATGTGCGATGCTGGTCGCACCTCCCCTTTTCCCTCATGGTTTCCTTTACAGTTTTGAGAATGCTTTGAAATGTTTTGCTCCCCATGTGCATGTGCAACACTGTCACAATCTAAGAATTGACTAGAATAACAAAGTTACAAGCAATATGTATGAAACCCTAATCTAGAAGTAGGGCAAAACAGTAACACCTAGACTAAACCAAATACAACATATAAAATATATGTTGACACACCCCCATAGTCTAGGTGACGGTACCGTAGTCCTGTGGAAAGAAACACAAATCTCAGGGTGGGTCTCAAGGACACACACATTCTGAGAGCAAACAAGGGTCACATGAACAGTCAGCAAGAACAAGCAAGGGTTACAAGACCAGGCCACAAGAACAAGACAAATCAGAGGGTGGAGCTCAAAGTCACCACACACTCCGAGAGCAAGCAAAGGGCCACAAGGCCAGTCCACATGCAGGTATATAGCAGAGATAAAGAGATGCAAGAGTACAAGACATGCAGGACAAAGCATCTCTACGTAAGCAAGTGAGGACGGGCAGGCACAAGGCCAAGCTGGATGCAGAAACGCTGGTGGTCACAAGGCGGCAACGCCTTGGTGAAGATATCTGCAGTGTTGGCCTCAGAGACCACACGGACCACGCGGGCCTGGCCACGCTGCTGCAACTCACGCAGAAGGAAGTAACGAAGCTGGATGTGTTTCGCCTTCCCAACCAGTCGGGGCTCCTCACACAACAGGACAGCAGACCTGTCGTCGGCGAACAAGACTGGGGGAGAGCGAGGCCGCTCACCAAGGTCGGTGAGAAGGAAAGACAGCCAGCGAAGCTCCTGAGCGGCCATGGCCGCGGCGTACACCTCGGCCTCACGGCTGGAACCGGCGACAGACGACGCCCGAGTCGACCGCCACGAAACAGCACCTGCCCCGAGGCTAAAGGAGTACCCCTGTGTAGACCGACGCGTCTCCGCGTCGTCGGCCCACGACGAGTCCGAGTAACCTGTAAGTGTAACTGGCTGCTTCCCTCCAAGGACAAGTCCCATGCCTGATGTACTCGCTACATACTTCGCCACCCTCTTAGCAGCGTACCAGTGGGATGGTCGGTGTCTCCCAGGCGCAACAAAGCGCGCAAGGACGCTAAGAGGGTAAGCTAGGTCTGGGCGAGTACAGGTCATCAGGTACATGAGACAACCCACCAGCTCAGGATATGGACCACTGGACTCAAATGACTCGTCCGAAGGTGGAGCCGTGAGCCCATGATCCACACCAAGAGGGGTGAGCTGTACCTTAGAGAACGGGAAGCGAAACCGCGTGAGGATCTGCTCGACCATATGCGACTGAGTCAG